GAAATTGAAACAAATATTGTTAGTGTTGAACGTATCAATGAGTATGCAGAGCTTGATTCTGAAGCTCCATGGGAAATTCTAGAAAAAAAACCATCACCACATTGGCCTACCAATGGAAGTATTCAGTATGTTAATTATTATAGAATATGTATCTTCTGACATTCATATTTTCTAGAATTAAAGATCTATCAACACGATATAGAGAAAATTTACAATTAGTACTTAAAAATATAACTGTTAATATTGAGCATGGAGACAAGGTAATATGAATAGTTGAAATTGATGATATTGAAATTAAGTTTAGATTGGAATCATCGGTCGAACGGGTAGTGGAAAGAGTAGTTTGTGTTTAGCATTCTTTCGTATTATCGAACCGACTACGGGTACAATAATTATTGATAATGTTGATATTCGTTCTATTGGTTTACATGATTTACGATCAAAGATCACTATTATTCCACAAGTAAATCTCATTTTTTATATTTATATAACTGAATTAATTCTTTAGGACGCGATTATTTTTGCTGGTACGATAAGATTTAATGTCGATCCATTTGGTAATTATAGTGATGCAGAAATTTGGACTGCATTACAATTAGTACATATGAAAGAACGTATAAATTTGATGAAAAATGGTTTATCCTATCTTCTGGCAGAAGGTGGTCAAAATATGAGGTAATATAAACGATTTGAGCCCTTTAATGTTATCATTTTTGTTCTAGTGCTGGTGAGAGACAATTATTGTGTTTAGCACGAGCCCTTTTAAGAAAAAGTCAAATAATCATACTCGATGAAGCAACCGCTGGTAAATGTTTTTTTTATTACTATTCATTTGTTACCTTATTTATCTTAGCTATTGACATGGAAACAGATCGTCTTATTCAACTTACTATTCGATCAGCATTCAAAAATGCAACTGTAATTACGATTGCTCATCGATTACATACAATTTTAGATAGTACTAAGTATACTTTACTTTACTTATTGTTTGAAAATCATTGATTTCTCTCTTATTTACTAAGAATTCTGGTCTTGTCCGATGGCTCTGTACAAGAATATGATGAACCGATACGTTTAGTGGCAAATCCAAATTCAGCATTTACTAAGCTATTACACGATGCAAATATTCATCCATCGGATATCACTTCAGCTCTTACGTCTCAACAATTAAATACATTTTCATAAAAACATACACACGACAAATAGTTTCAACTAATTTCTATCCTTGTTTTTTTTTGAAGAAAGAAATTGTTCATAGCATATCTAGAATAAATATCAAACTTAATAATGTATAGCAAGAACTGAGCATAAACATTTCACTTTTTCTATAGAGGTATTCAAATTCCTAATCGATGTACTGGCTAACTAGACGAATATAGTATAAAAATAGTTTTTTTTAGTAGAGGAAATATAGTACCAATTCCATCTATAAGAATATTTAAAATGCATCACTCATTCGTTTATTTTCTATACCCTGTCCCTGCATTCCTTAGAATACATCAATGATCTGTACCTTATCTTATATCTGCTCCAAATTTTTTTTCTCTGCTATTTGCCGTTGTATTTTATCTTCTTCTAATTTTTGTCCTTCAATGAATCATTTTTTTTTGTCGTTCTCCACTCTCGTTGTAGATATGCCGAACGCTTGAGTCAATAACTTACTCTCATGATGCACATAACCTGACTTGTTTGTCCTTCTGTCTGTTTTTTTCTTCTTATGCACATGGTGTAACGCAAAATTTGTAATAACAAAAATATAATGTTAAAAAAATATTTCACATTACTTTTCTATTGAAGATAAAATGGGGTCTATTATCAAGTTCATCTTTGGATCATTCGCACTATTCATTGCATTCATTGCTATTGGTTTGGGTTATTTGAAAACTGATGACACTGTTCGACAAAAACGTACGTATAATCAAAAATATGCCTCATGACTAATTACATAGAATAAGAATTCAATTTATAAGATTTTCTGTTAATTCAATAATATCTATATTTGTTAATTCTAGTTTTTGCCACAGTTTTAAATACATGTTCTAACGAAAACGATACGGCAATTATGAATCTTCGATGCAATGAAGTTCTTAGTCATTCGCGTATTCACGGTCATGTATTAGAAATTGGTACGGGCACTGGAATCAATTTTGCATGTTTACATAACAATACACGTATTATTGATTATACTGGCATCGAACCGAATTACCACATGCATTATTATGCAAATGCAGCTACAGACCGATGGAATATTCCGTTTAAAGTGCGCTTGTCGACTAATTCAGCGACCAATATGACTGACATCGAATCGAATAGTATCGATACGATCATAATGACATTTGTTCTATGTAGTATACCCGACCCATTACCTAAACAATTGCTTATTGAAGCACATCGTGTTTTGAGATCTGGCGGAGAATTACATCTATTGGAACATGTTCTATCCGATCCAAATGTAAAACCAATAACAAATTCATTTCAAAAATTAATTGAACCTATATGGACTATAGTTGGTGATGGTTGTCGCTTTATACCAACTGGAAACTATTTAGATGAGATGAAAACAGTCTATTCCAAAGTCAACTATGAAAATATCGAAATACCCGTTCCATTGCTTTTAATTAAAGACGCTATCAAAGGTGTACTTATCAAATGAACCATTTTAATCGTTCGATGTTTCGCTATTATTATTTTTGTGTCATTCTTTTCCATAAATCGAAAAAAGTCTGTTTGTTCGTATATTTAGATTTCTTGAAAATGATAAATGCATCTTGAGTATTGAGGGCGAGTGTGGTATGGGTTTAGAATGGATTTAACATCCACACCCTATACGGGCGTCGAATATTCATCTGATAATGATTTGAAATTATTGTTCATTGGTCCCACAAAATGCGTCACCGTCGCAAGCTCCTTTTGATGATATAACAATATTCCCTATCTATTGTGTAGTTCCTCTGCCAATCTATCTTATACCCACATCCACACCCATCCTCAAGATCTAACATCTTTCGATATTTTCAATACTCAATTTCGTCTTTTCACTTTACACAAACGTACTTTTTCTGTTTCTGTATGAAATCGAAAGTTAATGATTACTTTCGCGCAGAGGACAATGGCACGTTTTTTTTCGCTATCATTGTTTGTATGAAAAATAAATCCAATTTCTGTTTGAAGAGAAGAACAGCGCATTGACATTTTAATTGCTTTCTACTGTATAATCAGCATTCGGATGAATGAAAGTGAAAACAAACTGCATTGCAAGTAACACTCAGCTTGCTAAATGCTTTTAATGGAAGAGCACATGAATCAGTAACACTCAACACAATCAAATATTTTTTGTGCGCAATTCCTTCAGTGGCTCGATATTCAAAAAAATACTGCTATTTGGTACTCTTTAAATATGTTTTAGTTGATAGTAAAGACCATTTTTCTCTTTCTAGTTGTCGCAGGAATGTAAATGACGGAATTGTTAGATCAGCTGTATAATTTTGTTTCATACAGTGACGTGTATTTATATCATATCTAATTTTCAAATAATATTGCCAATTTGTTATCACTCTTCGGATTCAAAATACAAAATGATGTACTTCTCTCTTTCAATCTAGATTTTCTTTTGAAACGTTGTAGTTTTCGATTATTATGACATTTATTTATTTACTTTTCTGATTTTATCTAAAAAAATAATGATAATGTAATAATCGATGTAAAGATTTTTATTTTCAATATGTAGAAAATAAAAATAAATATGAATTGATAGCACTATTATTGATTTCAAAATAAATGGCTTCTGATATCGTATAATGCCCGAAATTGATGCACATAGGTACTTCGACAAGGTTTACAATCTGTGGTACACCAGAACATAAAATAAGTATATCACTAACGCTGACATACGAACCCACGGCTTCAAGAGGGTCATGTTTTTCTCTTTTCTCTCATATGTATAACTTATTTTCCTTTCTTTCCTTCTACTCTCTTATGTAAAAAGCCAAGATCTTCTTCACGCAAAAAACGTTCGAAAGAAAAATAAAAGAGAAAGTGAGAAATTTTTTTCTCTCTTTGAGCGAAGTCATGCATTCATTTTCTGTTTTTTTTCTCAATCGAAAACACATACTACAACAAGCTGAAGTGGCAAACAAAATGTTAAGGTAACGTTTGATTTTTAGCTTTCGTTGCGAAAGAGCACATGACTAACATACAAACAGTGATTTCAACAGCTCTCAAAAGGCAGAGCAAATTTGCGTTGCTAATGTATTTTTTAGTTTAGCGATTTGAGTTTATATACTATTCAATGCAGAATTGTATAGGTTACATTTTGATGAAAAGTATTTTTTGAAAATCATCAGGTGAAATTAATCAATATTAAGTAATAGGTAAAGAGAATTTTTATTTGAATTTCAACCTTTTAAGTACATGATCAAGAAGAGAAGAGCGTTGATATCTGAATGAAATAGTGCGTATAATGAGAACTCGAATGAATAAATTTAAAAGTATATTATCATCGCAGATTTGTACGCTATTTTGAAAGCTATTGAAATCACTATTTGTATGTCAGTAGTAAGTGCTCTTTCATGAAAAAAAGCTGAAAAACAAAAAGTGCCTTAAAATTTTGCCTGCTGGTTTATGAGTTAAAAATATCAGGATTTCTTATGTCGTTTTTAGTGTATTTTAGGAATATGGCTCTCTAGTTACGAACAAAGGGAGTATACGAAGGATACATGGGAAGTCCAGAGTAGACATACTTCAGTTCCAGTTGAGAGTATGGGTGTCGAAGCAGGCATTGTTTTCACCTTGGATTTAAGTGCGGGCTTGCCCTCACCAATCTTGAAGAAAAATAAAGTTTCTAATAGAGCGAATATCTTTTTTCAGACAATTTCGGCGATCATACGTTTGAAGCAGACTTCATACAGAAACATCGTTCAACAGCATAAACAAAACATTTATTGTGAAACATTGCTTCAAAGGTCGTCTTGATTTGTCTTATTGGAATAAAATACCTTACAATGATAAAGTCGCTAGCTTTTCTTATCCTTTTAAACTACTTATTCTACTTGTGTGATTGCGGAACACTGCCAACTTCACAAGCAACTGAACAAACACTGATAACAGGCTTGTTAAGTACATATAATAAAATTATAAGACCAAATACTACAGTATCTGTTGATATCACTGCTGCACTACAACAAATTGTGGCTATAGATGAAAAACAACAAACAATGACAACAAGTTTATTTATTTCACAAACTTGGGTGGATAGTCGATTATCATGGACACCTAGTTCAAACGGTAATATCGATGTAGTTATGCTGCCAGTTACAAGTTTATGGATACCAGATACAATGATATTGAATTCAGCAGATTCAAGTGGTTATCTCACAGTGAGTACTTATAGTTTGGCATCCGTTGAAAGCTCCGGCCAGGTATATATGATATTACCCGCATTAACGGTAAAAACAAGATGTAATTTTAATGTTCAATATTTTCCATTCGATAAACAAGTATGCAGCATCAGTTTAACATCATGGAGTCAAGGATCTAGTAGACTAGTATATACAGAAAATAGTACTGCAGTAATTGATATTAGTGGATATACCGAACATCCTTTATGGAAACTGAATGGAACAGATATGATTGTAGTTCGATCAGAAGATAGATCACCATTTGAAGATAGCTTTGTTGACGTCATAACAATACAATTATATTTACAAAGAAAACCATTGTATTTTATCATGAATGGTATATTTGCATGTTGGATATTAAATTGTGTTACTTTGCTATCATACACATTACCCTTTGGATCGCAAATTGGTCTATGTAAGAATATTCTTGTCCTTTCTTGAATACAAAATAGAACTTAATGTATTTGTATTTTAGGTATGACATGTTTTATGACCTATTCTGTTTATTCATTGAATTTTTCCAATCTATTTCCACAACAATCTCAATATTTAATGATGATTACATTATACTTTTTATTATCAATATGTTGGACCTTAATATCAATGATATGGTTTGTCATATGTAATCACTTTATATCAAAAGCTGAAATGCCAAAGTTTCTTTATATTTTTGCTGGACTATTGCAAAAAAAAGTATTTCTTTTTTGCTTTCCACCGCCCAAAGATGACAAGAAAAAAGATGTTAT